GGTCTTGAAAGTTATTTTTATGTTCATTTTGCTTTCCTATTAGGGTGATATAACATGCACACTTGTCATCCTACTGTATTCGTAGTCTTGTCATGGTATTTTTTCCCTCATCTAACTGTCGTAATTGTCTTAAATTTCAATCTCAACTTTCCAGAGTATCTTTGAAAAAACTAATAGTGGGTACTCAAGACTCGGCTGTCGTTATTCGAGGGATTTGATTTTCACATTCGCAATGCCCTCTCATGAAGTCAGCATTATGAAAAGCATTTCGAAGCTGTTTTTTTGAAGCTTTAAAGCTGCAAGGAAAGTATCCAAAAGTGGATGTCTCTACTTAATTGACTGTGCTCAGAAAGGAAGCTATACGTAGCTTGTCTAACACTCTAAGCCGAAGAGTTGAAATTGGAGCACCTTTAAGTTACGTAGCTCTAAGAATGTTTGATATCACATAAATATGAATATCGGAATCGCAATTGACAGAAATGCTAGATTGACTGGGAGTGGTCAACAGTGGGGAATCATTCGTGGTTTTCTCCTTCCAGACTTTACGCTCTTTTTCATTTTCCCGATACAGCGACGTCTTCACCGTGCACTTCGATGCTTTCCAACCTCCGCAACGTCAGGCAGAAATGCTGAAGTATTTTGGTTAAGGTCTCCCTTTATTGTTTCTTTACAGACATTGTATCTATGTATGTTCCCATGCAATTTGGTGCTTTCATGAATGTCGTGCGAATCTATTTTAGAGCATTAACTAAAGAGTTTGGAGAGATAGGTGTCTTTTTATCACTTTCGAATCCCGTCATTTTTAGCACTGTTACGATTTTGGATAGGACGGCAATATATATATATATATATAAATAAATATAAATGAATATCTGTAGGACCTTGACAGAGGTAAATATTCACAAACAGTTGCGCGCTGAAAAGACTGCTAACTGGATCAACTCTTCTATGGTGTATTCAGCGGAATATTTTTTCCTCGTGTAGCACGTTCTTCCAACCGACGGATCCATCGATGTATAACAAATAATCTCAGCATAAATCATCGAGAAATTGAATTCATTTACCTCTCAGACCAAATAACGAATTAACTTCTGTGCCGCCTTTAACACCACGTCTTTCACAGAATTAAGACCATGTGGCCTCTTTGAGTGAGGGAGATGTGCGATAAAAAGTGTAGGGTGAAATTTCGGATCGGTTATCTTCATCGTGGTATTAAGCCTGGAAGTTTTGCTACTGGTCAAAAAGCACATGAACATCATGTAATATGCCCTACTTCGGGCTCTGTCGGAAAATTCAAGGTTGAAGTATCTCTTGAGCAGAACTCCATCGCAGCTCTTCGTTCGCAGCTCTGTTAGACTGTCTGGAGATAAGTATTGGCTTTTAGTAGTAGAAAATCGCCTCAGATTTTCGATGCAATGATTTCATTTGTAGAGGAGGAAGTTGATGATTATGAGTGTTTGGCTTCGACCGGAGAAAGGTGCGTAATGAAAAGTAGGGAGAAGTGATCCATCTTATTATACGCAACGATACGAAAAGGAACTAGAAAAGTGAGCTCTACAAATGTTAATCCATGAGGTTCTTTCTCCAATAACGCAACTTACATAATTTTGAATGGTTTCTGTTGAGTTCCTTCGATTTATTGACGCAGTTAGAGCTAATTCAATAACCTCTTCATAGCATATCATAAAAGAAAGCGTAAGAACAGATTTTCGTGTGGCTAAGGGAGAACGGGTGCATGTGGCGCAGTGGTCGGAGGCGTCCTGCAATAAACATGGCAGAATCCCGGAGCTTCAGACTCACCAACCCTTCTATCCTTTCGATTTCGGTAAACTGATACCAGACTTGTCTGAGAGATAGCAGCACTTGCTCGATACATCGGTCGGACACCACTAGTCACTGTAAAGGCCAGATATGCATTCAATCACCTCCAAACGATGCTTAATGAAATCTAATACATGGCGCATTTCTCAGAGATTGATCAACGCCGAGACCCATGTTTTTACAGCGTTCAACATGCCTACAAGGCAATATTAAAGCCTTTATCGTATCATTCATCAGTATACGAAATGAGGAATAAACATGTATGGCCACTTGTAATTACTTGTTATCCTGCTAACCATCAAGTGAAACGATCGGATATCAGGAAACCACTTTTCTGTTTCGCGTGCCGGAGTTACTCAGTCCACTTTGCTTAATCCAGAAATACGACTAACTCGCCGAGTTCAATGATTCCGCTGTAAGTGTGGAGTTTGTCTACGAATGGCTTCTAGTATTTACTCGGAATGGACTCGGTACTTTACATTCATCTAATATTTTCAAGCGAAAGAATACCCACGACTAGCTTGTCGAGTTCTACGTCATGTTCATGAAAGCTGAGTATGCTCATGAATAGATTGTTGGGTTCAGAATACACATGAGATTTGTTTACAACGAATTGCCTCTCACTGCCAGTTCGTTGATTAAAGGCTAATGGCCGGACTGACATGCAAGGTACAATTTGCAAGCACACCCACGCCCGCATGGAAGTCAATTCGTCGCAAGTGAACGGTTTGACTTCACTCACATAAGGGACGTAGGAAATATTTAGAAATTTCAGAAGACTCTAGAAAGGAAACATAAGGTTTGAAGAAAAAGTGTGCAAGGATAGTGTCATTGTGCTTTGACATTGTCGCAAACATCTTAGATTACTTTAGCGAATTAAAGAAAGATGCACCGGCATAAATACGATACTACGTCCTTAAGTGCATACAGTGTACATGAACGATAAAAGGACAAAGCATTCGGCTTTGATGAATTCCCAAAGAATGCACCATGTATTCGACTCTGTTGAAAAGGTGGTTCACTACACATATTTGGTTTTTACAATAACCTGTGATGATAGACCGGTGTATCAAGACGGTGCTACTGTCCGTCCAAACAAGTCTGGTTCCAGCTGCTAAGCCAGGAAGGATGAAAGGCTTCGTGAGTTGGGAGCGCTGACCGAGCCAGCAATCGATCCGATCTGTGTTGCGGGTCACCTCTAACCACTATGCTACATGCGCTCTTATAAAATTTAAATATTCAGGCGAAACATAATAAATCAACGGACCAGTTTTTCTGGGATATGAGTCATCCATGCCCTAACCCAACTGGCCCACCTGGACGGTGAGCGATGGTGTGACATTTCTAATGCGACAACGAACGGTCACATCTAGAGGACGACCACCTGAGGATCATCGATTCGAATCAATCCAGCTCCGAAGAAGACGAAGACGTCGATACTTCGGCCAATCAAATACTTTTATCAAGAACTTGTTTACCTAATAACCTAAGAAGTTAATGATATTATAACCGACGATCTCGAAGATTTGTTACGCTGCGGTAAGGTGGGATGATATCAATTCTCAGTGCAGCGCATTCCCATTTTTCGAAATTTCTAATGTCTTCTGTGATTGTACTTGGATAGCTTCCAATTTTCAGAAATTTCAAAAAGTATCTCCAATAGAAAAAAGCTGACGTCACATCAAGGAGGAAAAAACAACGAAATGCTAAGCAAGATCCATTCATGCACCTTCATCAACTATCGAAAGGTCTAACATGTGAGAAAGATAAGTTCTCCATCAGTGACTTCGATTTGCAATCAGAACTCAATCACTTGATAACTACATCCGTGATGTAGGGAAAGCAGCTTGCTGGATCAATTCTGCCATTAGCCAGCGGCAATGGCAGTTTGTAATTCTTGATGGACTAACTCGAACAAGTGTTTTTCTTCAATTTGATGTTTTCTGGTGCTCAATTTTAAAAGTTACACTTTTGAATTTCAGTCATTTCAAAAACCCAAGAGCATTTTGTGTTAGAACAGCTGATTCTCCTTGTCACGCTGTAAAACATCTCGTGAGGCATCGACCTATTGGAATCATGCCGACTGAGCGTAAAACTAAAAGCCGCAGTTGGTCCTCGCCCACCGTATAAGTGTGAAATTCCATAAACTAGTAAAATGGGTGAATGAAGCCAAAAACAAAGTGAATCGATGGAAACGGCCGTTCATCTCCCACGCTAGGTGACCACCGATGAAAATGGACACATATCGTCATGCTTACTTCCTATGCAATCTATTGACTCAACTACATAAATATATATCTACGTTTACACCAAAACCATAAGAGATTGTAAACAAACATTCATAATTTACGAATGGCGTAGATATCTAACTGGCGGATGGATTAAGATTCTGTCCAGTATATTTACACCCTCACAATGAAGAGTATACTAGACGCTAGTCAGAACCATGCCACTACACAACCACTTAGTTCTTCTTGTTCAACTTCCATTTCTACGCCAAAACAAGCGAGCAACGTGCACATCCTCTTCAGTGCCACTCAATTTTACTTATATATTTACTTGTACGATCCGGCATAAGGGGCGGACACTAGCACTTCCTTAAATCTCCTCGTTGTTTCGCGTCCGCAACCCCTAAATAGTTCCGAATTTGCGTGTGGATTCGGTTTTCAAGTCAGTTCCTATCTTCTTCATAAATGTCACTGTATCGCGGCAAAGTTCATTCTGCCTTGTATCCTGGAACAGTTCTACTAGTGCGTTCCTACGTCTTCAAAATAGGAAGTGACCTCACAAGACAATGTAACGCTGCTCATTCGTTGACGATAAGCGTGTGGACCGTCCATCTAAGCAGTAAGTAGAAACCGTGTTGATGAGCTTACTCAATAATTAGGAGATCCAAATTAAAAAACATTTCACTCTAACGGGGACCATCAGGGAAAACAATTATAAATTCTGTATTCTAGAAATACAGCAAGCACGATCGGATATACAATTATATTCCATAATTCAGCCACCAAATAAAATATATTCAGTTACTATCTATGGTAAACCATGTAGTGTAAGACTTGTGCACAACCATATAGATTCGGACATCATAAATCTTTAAAACTACAATGAATAAAACCGACTTTGGAATGCACAAACAAAATGGAGAATGGAATGCTAGCATGTTCACTAAGTTCTTAGTTGCTCAGAATGAGCTGGAACATCTCGTTAATGTTCGCAACAGCTTGTATATGGCGCGATTTGAGCGATAGCTGAAATTTTCAAACTCATACAGTCATTAGAAGAGAAAAAACTCAATATTCTCTACTATATTCAAGAAATATGTGATCATCAACAGTTTTCATGGTTCGGCTGCACATATCTGTAGAAACGGCGTGAGATACCAACGAATCGAACCCAAGTCGTAAATATCTAGATTTACAAAAAGTAAAAGAGAACAAAACTGGTTAACATACGGTAAGTGCAGTGGACCCTTGATGTATTTTCAGCTCACTGAGGACGAAAATATTATTCGTGTATTTGATAGAGTGGTATAGCAGTTCCTGCCCTTCGATGCTTCTTCTCGCCACCGTCATAACATTATTTTGTTGCAATTTCGCACAGATAGCATCTGGAATCAACTTCTGAAGTTTGACACATGAATTGATGGGTTAAAAATCTCGAAACTCGATTCAACAGAGGACACTTCTGCGACGACATTAGTGAAAGGTACCTAAAGGTACTTAGCTTATGTCGATCACACATATTGTTTTCAGAAATCTTTGCAGTAACGAACCAGCACTCAGATTCTGAGTATTCTGAATTGTGAACTGTTGCTCGTTCTGTTCAGGTATCTCCTTCCACATATCAAGAAATTCCCGCTTTTCCATCTGACCAGACTCATGAAAGAACACCAGAAGAGGTACGATCGCAGCAAAATAGAACACATCAAGATCGTTTTTTATTGCAACCTGCAAAAGAAACTTATTATGAAAAATAGTAAGGTAACAAAAAACAATAATAACAGTAGTTATTTGCTTCATACAAGCTTAAAATTCAGGTCGAAGGTGTTCACAAAGCAAGAAACGTAAACGTTGCAGCAAACTACAAAAAAGCACACATTACTAAGTCGGTATCCATATGAATCCTTAACTATCGCGACAGTTTCTTCCCAAGAAAAAAATATTCCATGAATTTAATAACCTATGTACACGTTAATGTCGAAGAAAGGCGACATCCACGACATCGGTAATTATCGCCGTAACTAATCAGCTATCTGCTTGATCTGTCGTCTATAAATGGACGAAGGAGAGCCAAGTGAGCAAGCAGTTTCGAAAAGGATGCAGTACGATGGACCACATCCACACGATAATAAGAGTCACTGAAGCATCGCGAGAGTAAAAGTGATCACTCTGTCTCACTTTCATCAATTCTAAGAAGGCTTCTGACCCAGTTAAGATAGAAGTATTCATGATAGCCCTGGATAGTCAGGGTGTCCCTACTCAGCATATAAAGATACATCGTGCGATATATAAAAACTTTACAACCAAAATATCACCATTCCATAACGATGTAAACATCGACGTCAAAAGAGTAGTTCGCCTAGGTGAGACAATCTCGCCAAAAAATATTTACCGCCACGTTCTAGAACGTCTTGCGAAAGACTGGGGTCGGGAATCATGGTAGGGAAAATCGACGGTCGGCAATTACATCATCTTCTAATAGTTGATAACATTGTTCTTATAACACAAAGCCATTAGCCAGGCGGAACGAATGCTTGTCCTATTCCAGATCTATTGAATACAGCTGAATAACTTCTTCACGAATAATTTCCAACTTATGCAACTGAGTCGCTAGTTTCATAACAATTAATATATTGATTGACCTCAGCAGAAATCAATCACTGCAATCGAAACCATGCTGATGACCAATTCAACTTCAAAGGGAAAATTTAACACAGGAAAAGACCATGCAAAAGTTTCCGAGCAAGTAAAGGAAACCACCGCTTACATACAATTTTAAAACGGTTGCCGACCAACCAGAATGGACCCAACCATGATATTTTGAAACAGTTTATAATGTCTAAAAGACAGTGACAACCTTAATTACTGTCAACTAATTTCATGTATTATATACTATATCATATACGCGCAAGCCTCCGCTTCCACGTTGTCGTGAGCCAACAAAGCCCGCCATTTCTCCAGGGTTGCGAAACCAGCATAGCCTTTTCAAAGCTCGACCTCTGCAATACATATTGGTTATGTTGTCATAATGAAATGAGGATTTGGGGATGCCCTACCATAGCTATACAAGGATTCCAGGGAAAATCGACTCGACCAACATTCAACGATGTTCAGGCGATTGAAAAACTTCAAGCAGCAGTCGAACCCACAATCCGCAAATCTTCTTACGATGGATGCGAGGGTAACGAATCATACACAAGTGTTGGGACCCTCACAATGTGTAATGTCGAGTCATAGCAAAAAAAAAGAAACCTCATGTACCATTGCGTGTCAAATTTTTCTGTCAAATTATTAATCGGGAAGCTAGTTATAAATGGACGGCATGTGTCTTAGCATAAGAAGTCTATCACGTATTAGGATAGTTTTTTCTACATCAGAACAATATGTGAAAGACTCGGCTTAAAAGCAAATTCTCATATCCACGCCAAAAATTTCTACCACAGAAAAAAACGGGAACCAAAAAAGAGAGGACAAAAAAGGTAGGAATTATTTCGAAAATGTGAGAAATGTCACGGGTTTCCTTACTAAAACACTGCATAAGCACGATTCGTCGATAACTTATCATAATGTGGATCCCAGTGGAGACCGCACGGTTGTCCTTATCGCCCGAGCGGACGTCTAATGTCGCCAGTGCATCGGCCAGTCAAAGTGCCACATGGGCCCATTCTTATCCAGATGTTGTGAGCAACAAGAAACTACACAGGTACGCCAGCTAGATAAAGCAACATTCCACATGTGCTACTGGAGCTGTTTCCGTGCCACTAACCGGCCCACTTTATGGATAACTGCCATCATTTTCGTTGTTCTGCTGGTGATTCAACACTTATGATCGACAACAATAAACCACATTTCAGCAAAGTCAGCATAGTGGAACGCGAACAAAAAAAAAACTGATAGGACCGGAAACAAGCAGCGGATTTCTTGAAATCTGTGTTGGAAAAGCTTTTGGTCTAACTATGTCTAAAAGGAGCATAACGTCTCTAAACAAAAAAAAATTAGATAGAATTCAATGCGTATTTGTGGAATTCAGTCACTGGTGCGCCAAATAAGGACACATTTTCAGACAATAACAGAGCGTGAAGTAATTCGGTTCTTTATGGTAGGGACAGGAGCTGCCGGTAAGACGACTGTAGTGAGGCAGTTGAAATGTCTTTGCAAGGAACGACCGAAAAATTACAAGGTATTCTGTTTCATAATGCAAAATCAATCATCATAAAAACTAAGCATTAGGGGAAATCGTGGGCTCATATAGGCATTAATAAGGGCACCAATCACGTCGAGTAAACATCTTGTTGATCTTCAGGTGTACGACAATGAATGGAATCAAATTACTATCGAAAACATATTCTCTGCCGAAGAAATGATACAGTTTCGTAAAATAATTCGGATTAATATCATAGTTGCCATTTACAACCTCATTCAGGTAGTCCTAACAAACTATTATCTACTAATAATCAGAGTTAGAGCTCTGTTCAATAATATTCAGCAAACAATTTGTTGGGGTCACGAATGTCAACCTTCTGAGTGCGTACAAACAATCGTGACGTTGGTAGAGAACGCTTACATAGAAGGACGAAGCACTTTCGATATGCAAATTCCCTCAATGCTTGGAGATGACCTAGTACAAGTTCTCAAGGATCCAAACGTTAGTCAACAAATATAACCGTCTTGCAACCAGTAGTACGAAGACTTTCGCATTACCTGCTTTATAGATCACTCAAACACTGGAAGTACACTACAAAATGGCACGAAAGTGGCGCATCGAAGATGGAACATTGAATTTCTTATCCGAAAATCAAATAAAACGGCTCTTCGACGATAGCGTGGAGCTCACCACAACCGATATCGTACATGCAAGGTAATTTTGTTTACCGATGGTTATACTACGATCAATAGTTTCATTGACTTTCACTAAACACACATTCAAGAAGAAATCGCAAATGGGTAACATGGCTTAGTTCAATCGCGTCAATGGTCAACAGTCAATATGTCTATTTCTTTCCTTCGCGATTGCCCTCCTCGATGATGAAGCCCCTTGAGCACGATGAACCAAGGACACATGCACCCATCTTGTAGATGGCCACCCTAGAAAAGGATCGCATTCTCTATGTTGTAGGTCTCGAAACCTCGATGAGATCTCACTCATGTCTCACACAACAGAGCGTTTTGTGGACCGCTGACTCAAAATGATGAATGTGATGAAACCCACTGGTGTCACAGTCTCTCCTTCTAGACGTTTTCTAGAAAGATGTATCGCGGTAGATATCCATGTGATGTAACATTCGCAATTAAAAATCCACTCATTTTCGTTTTCCATCGAACAATGAATTCCTCATGAAGCGCTTCTTCTTCTGCTTACATGCAACTCTATCCTCTTTCCACTTTATTGTGCTCCTTGCACATTAGTGACAACACAAGACTTGGGTGGTGACGCGACTGATAAACGTCTAATACAGCAAGGAAATCTTAGTACCATGCTCATTTGTGTCTATCTTGTTCACTTATCTTGTTACCCTTTCCAACAGCAACAATCTTTAGTCACAGAACTCAGCGAAACTAACAAACTTGTCCGAAAAACAATTTTTTTAGAACTGCAATAGGTAGAAAATATCTCTTCTTAGTCAACAAGTGGTACAACATGTTTTAGTGAAACCATCCACTGAATAGAAAACTAGAACAGAAATAAAAAGAGACCCAGCGAGGAAAAACAGACGGCTAAAAGTGAGTACTCGATGTTCATAAGGCCAAAGTACTATACGTACGAGTCTTTGATGAGTAGTGCACGGATGTTTTAACCACCCCTTTTGCTTCAACAGCACTTCCCGAAAATAATGCGATGTTGTCAGCAAAACAAGCGATTTTCCACATTAGTGCATATACCCTTTTCCTTCGAATAGAACGAATTTATTATTCACTGCAGTGTATTGGTAACTATTTCCAGTCACATGTTGTCACCACGTCGGATTCGCTCCTCTATGTGTATAAGATGCCGACAGATCTATACTTTCATACTATAGCACTCCGCTACAATACTTTTGTAAGCGGAACCCATTCCTTCGCCGATTTGTGCTGATAGAGGACTGCATTTATTTCGATGCTGTCGAACACTTTCTGTTAGTTGTCAATGCAAAAGAAAGGTGGTGAAGCTAAACGACTTCTATGATTCTAGGATGTGATCCAGGCACAAAAATCCCTGTCAGAATCCTGCATACTCAGCTGGTTGAGTTTCAACAAAAATTATCGTTATGTACAACAATTTTCGTGAAAACTTTGTGGAACACCCGAAGAAGAAAATTGGACTGTACTTTGTTACTGTTCGGAGTGATTAGATGAATCAGAAAAAGGACAAGTGAATCCCAAACAAACACAGTAGTGAATGGACACAGTCCAAAGTCTATCAAGGCTTTTTTAAACGCTCTTAATGTTATCTTCTTCCTAGACTTCCATACTAAACCAACAACATTATTACTTAACGAAAACGCCTTAGTGCCGTAACAGTAACCAAAACATTCAGATACCCCACGACAGACGTGCAGGACTTCAGGTTTAGTGTTAACGACATGAATATTCAAATTCATGATATGGGTGGACAGCCTACAGAACTGGTGAGTGCAGACAATCATCTAATGTTATCGCTTAAAACGGTATTTTCAGATAAAATTACCAGACTTCATATATCAATGGATCGCTAGCAACCGCGAGCGCTACAAAAACTTCTTACTATTTGTAACTTCAATGGCTGATTTCAACATACAGGACGTCGACGAACCTAGTCGAACGGCAATGGAACGTAGTATAAAAATAATAGATGTAATAATTTAACAGGTGACTTCGAGAAAGTAAAAGAAAATCTGTGAGTGAATGTTTTAGAGAGTTCTCAGCGAGGACGCACTGCAAAATTGCGGAGTTATGATATTCTTCAACAAGCAAGATCGATTTGACAACATTGTAGGAACACTTCAAAAAACTGAAGAGGGTCGCGATGAGATAGCTAAATATCTTGGTGAAACTATGACAGAAGGTATGGTGTGAAAATGGAGAATTAAACAAATTATTTTTATTAATGTATTTCCTTTCAATGAAAGAAAAGACACTGATTATCCATACTAAGGTTAAATGAGAGTCGGCTTTCAAAATTATTCCTTTAGTTGTTTCTTTTTTACGTTTAGGCGCAAGAAAGAAACTACGTGCTGGAAGTTGCCCTGAAAAATCACTACACGAGGCAGTACACCATAAATATGACAAAGTTATAAATATGAAGCGAAAAGGAGGAAAAGGAGTGTACATGAGGTGATCTCTGTCTTTACGAAGTTTTGAGCAGTACATTTTCTTCGCATTAAAATCACTCACATAACAAGTAGCCACATTAGGAGAGAGTGTGGAGACTAAGCCGTAAATCATTCAGTAGAGCACTGCTTTCCAGTGACTTAGAAAAGAGAATCTTGGCCAAGAAAACGCCATCAGCATTGGCTTTATCGCTAGTTTTCACCTTGCAGTGGCTTCGTTCTGCATAGTTTTTGGCTAAAGTGTACGACAAGAGGTAATCTTTTAAAAAGCGCGAAGATATCTAATGAAATAAACCGTCTACCTTAAGCACACGACTAATAAATATAGTCGATTGTTCGCTGAATAAATAACAAGACATACTAGAGAAATGAGAACAAAGGCAGCGAAAACTGGATCTTCAATTCAGTTTAAGGACTGTAAACACTTCGCGAAGAGTGCTATGACCAGTTATGTAGTACAGTCTCCATGTAAACCTTAAAAATGCCAACTTATAGCATAATATGGCTCTTTAAACTAAAATCTACGTCTAATATACCGATTTCCTTATAACTAGATATAAAATACACCTGGAATACTAAGTTAGTTAAATTAGTGGCTAAGAATCATAAATTATGTTTTTATACAGTGCATGCACACAACAGTATACAAACTATTGGGGTGGGGTTACAACGATTGTGAATCTTGTCCATCTGAACTCTACAAAGAAATTTGAATACAAATATCGATTTCTGGCACTGCTCCTATATAATACCCCAAAAGCTTATTGCTCTTCTAATAATTTGCCGTGAAACGAATTTTCTAACAGGTCACTTAAAGTGGGTCCTAATTTCTAAAACAATGAAAAGATGAAGTGGTCGATAAGTGGAAGTCCTAAAAATTGAACGATGGTAGAAGATCGTCACGTCACGAGGTCTGCTTTGCGCTTCTTTTATGAGATAAAAACGACCTACTTCTCTATAGAATTGTGACCTAAAAGTGGACCTTGTACAACAACTGACGACATTCAGCACAACTAATGGACATAAACGGAACTTCTAAACACTTCCCAAAACAGAACTGGAATTAAAAGACATTTATGACCGAAAAACAGTTTTCGACAGCGAAAATAGAACGAAAATAGAACGACGAAAATAGAAAATGTAATAGAACTCAACGAATCTTGACAAAGTAGAAGTCTATTCCTCTTCAATGACAAGGGCCTACGGGCCAACAAAACGTTACACCACTTATACTGAAGAAATGAAACGATTTGATCAACGAAATCGTTCCTCAATCAAAATAATCATCGAACTTCTCGCATCGGGAATTTCTTCAACAATCTCGACAACTACTAGCTAAGAGAACCTTTCACAACCAAACGACTAAAAAGAATGCCTTTACAAAATTCATCATTACCAAAACTTTGGAATTCTGCGCTACTGGAATAAATAAACTTGTACCTAGCTAGCACAATGTGCAAATTCCAACGGCTACTATTCTACATCCTCCCAACGGCTTACCGTCTCATCGTGGCTAGGGAGGTGCTCCTGGGTGTCAGGTTGCGATGTACAGCGTGGAGATTCATGTCTCGGCAGGATCTCTCAAGCTGAGAAGGAGACCAACGTTTCCATCAAGAAGCCTTGCTAGGTGTAAACCAATACCAGAATCCACCACCGTCCTGGGTCAAAGTCGCATGGTGGCAAATCTCCCCTTTGATCCATAAGGGCTGCGACTGACTGTGGTGGTGAAGACCTGGGGTAGACTTTGGCCAGGCTATCCTCGCGACTCCAGACAACCACAATGACTAAACCAGCAAATCTCCGGAAAATGAGAATTACGCTGGGAACCACACAACCATCGAAGACGAGTCATCCAAGTATCCAAATAATATTCTACATAATAAACTGATGTTTGAATCAAGTTATAGTTTTTCAAAAATTGTGTTACAGTTCAAAATACGCCATTCGCTTCCCATCAACCTAATACTTGGACGTGGTAAAGTGTTTTTCCTAGACGAATGCTTTTTCATCAAAACTCTACTTAACACAGATACTATTCAATTAATGAAATCACCTATAGATAAGAAACATTTGATGCAAAGATAAATTTAATGAAGAAATATCTACTTTTTAGATTATCTGTTTACTTCACTTACTTACCCATATAGCTTTTGCAGTACACGTATAGGCGTATTGAAGCAATAGTATCCAACTCGAAAATTCCTTCAATTACCATCCCTGATTTCCGAGATAGACTTAAACAGATAAGGAAAAGGTTCTACTTATTCAGTAATGCTCAAGAGTCAAGAATTCAGATGTACGCAAGCGGTTGATCCAGAAATCATGGCTGCGATTTTCAACGTGATACAGAATGAAATCATTACCGACTTCATCGAAAATGGGAACTATATAATGTAACTCGCTGTTTGTTTTGTCACTTATTTGTTGTTTCTAGCTTTATTTCAAAACCTCGTCATCATTATAACGGTAATAAATCTCATAAACCACACTGAATCACTAAAATAATCAATCGCAAGGCGAGCACCATTACTGTACTTTTGGTATCCATTTGTTTATGAGACGAATCCTCAAACCATTGCTTTGCGTTTCTCTCAGCTAGTATCCTACCTAACGCTGCCATCAGCAATCACCTACATTTCCTTTTCCAACCACTCGTAAACTCCAACACAATTTTACGGACTGATAAAACATAAAAATCAATAGTACCTGAAGGTTTGTGAGTGGTTCCATCTTCTGTACACCACCAGTAGTGACGCATCGCAGAACAACCTGAAAGTGATGAAAACAATAGATATGAATTAAACTTTAGCCTCCACAAAAAGTCACTGACATTGGCGCTTTGTCCAGGCACGAGTGGAGAAGGAACCTTTAGCGGCTCAGCTGGAATCAGTCCAAATGAGTTCCTGTTGAATTGGATAGCAAATCCAGAAAGAGCTTGCATTGCCTGATTAATAAAGTGGCACATAGACAGAAATCATTAAAACTACATTGTCTAATAACTGTACAAACAACCTTATTTGTAGTAACTCCCATGTCTGACTTTCTATTAACCTCGACATTGATTCCACCGTCTATGTGCAACGCAAAATTGCATAATTTGCCCCAATGGTAGAGACAGTGACTGCATGAATTCGGTACAGTCCATCTGATCTCTTGTAAAGCGTGCGGCGACGAATTCGTCGGCGAAACGGGTAGACCACTCTACGTGCGTATAGAAGAACACCTAGTCGGCAAACGTAAACCAAATACTCCACTAGGCACGCAGAAGACGCAGAGACATAACGGAGAAGATTATGAAGTAGGGGTTACGATCCCCGCGCAAGAATTGAGAAGACAACCGCGCAGAACTCTAGATTTTGGATTAATTCCAAGAATCCGAAAATGAATCGCAGGAATGCCTCATTATCACGCGTGACATTGAGCAGTATATAAGCCTGCTATTTTGATGAAATGGGCACAATACGATTCCGTGTGAACTCGGTGCGGTTGGTCTCCACGTAACATATTTAGTGGAAGACTCACAGAAAGCGGTGAGTGTGCAAAGACTCCGTGTTCAATGCGATTGAAATTTCGGTTCAGCATTTTCTCTGCTTGGTTATGGAGGTGTTTGGCCTTGTAGATTGTAGTCAATTTGACCTTTCCAGGCTCTGAGGAAGGCGAAATTCGCCGAAACGTCAGCTTGTACGTAAATAAAGAAATGAAATAACACCTCGCCTTCGCTGAACATAAGTAGAAAAAAAAACCTTATTTGTTATAGTCATTTCCATGTTTATTGTCCCATTACGGCGAACAAACGTGCCTTCAAGTTGCATTCCCTTAAAAATAGTAAGGTAAAGATCAAAGTTGCTAAGATGAATAAATTTTAAACACGTGCTTTTGCTCGAGCCGCATCAAGCCACAACTGTTTTGGTGCTTGGTATCCTGAACTGGGTGTTCCTGTCATTCCCATAGATCCACTGAAGATGTCGCCAAGACCGCCTAGTTAACGAAAAGAATATCATGTTAGGAAATTGCAAAGATTTTAAAAAAAGTGACATACTCAATGTGGAAGGGAGAGTTGTCTGAGCAGGTGGAACACCTAAACCGAGATTCGCTAGTGGATCAAATCCAGTGCTGGTAGCAAGAGAAGGTACTGCTTCGGGAACAGAAGGTCCAGTCAATCCTAAGAGGTCGTCAAGACCACCAGATGATGACATTGGTACATAGCCTTAAATAGGAAATCACAAACAATTTGAAGGATTCTGAGATACAAGCAAACCTGAGAATCCTCAGTTGTGCTTCGAACCCACGACTAGCCTAGCTGGTGCTCACGTAGTAACCATCACACCAACCGAGGCGCTTGCTTTACCTATCTCACAGTCATGTTTTTACTCTATCAGCAATCACCTGTCAGCGGGAACGATTTGGGTAGCAGCAAGCGACGTTGGACTCAGAAGCCAGAAGAAAGTGAACAAAAGTTAAGATATTCTTATTTCGAACGCAGCTTCAGCTTAACCGAATTCAATACAAAACTTGTGATTACCAGAACATTTCTGTTGACAGGTGAATACTGAAAATACCGACAGAGTAGAAGTATGGCTGAAAGAAAGCCGAAGCGAGGACCTCTGTCGGTGTGGTTGATGGCATGTGAGCTCCCGGTAACGGTAATAGCGCGTTTGAAGCCCGGGATTTCTACTTTGGCTCATATCTGTGAAACCTTATAGTTGTATCTCACAGTGTACCCTGTTATGAAAAAAAAGAATAGGAAAAAATTAAAAGTTGAAACAAAAAACTTAGCAAAACAACATGAACCCATATATCGCAATTATTTCAACGCATTGGTGATATCCAAAATTCTATTCTATACATATGCGATGTCTATTTTTCGAGGAATCTTTCATATTTTCCGATAACTGGTCTATAGTATATGAGTGCACAATCTAACACGGGTTACTTTAATTGTACAATTTTTTATACCTGAGGTTTCAGAAAACAGAAGATTAAATTTTTAAAACCCTCAACGCAAACATGATATCTTAAAACACCAACGACACACCAGAGATGTACGTACGTCTTGGCAAATCCCTCTTGTTGCTTTGCAGTTAGAGGCATAAGCGTCGATAAAAAAGAAACAGAAAAAAAGTTGTCCTGTGGACTCCGAAAAATCATTATTTTACCTCTAATAAGTGAAAAAACTTCCATCTCTTGTTTTCAGAAACCTTTAGATTACGATTACTTTAGACGAAAAAGAATGAAACTGCTATGATGTTGAATGCTATGAACTAAGATGTCCGTCAAAAGTTGAAATATAACTATAAAAAGTTCAATGTTTTTCTTCAATAAGCAGACACGAGGTTGTTAATATAGAATTTATTAGAACACAATTGCTGACGTTTCGGCGGTTTCGCCTTCTTCAGAGCCTGGAAAGGTCAAATTGAGATGTGATCTACTCAGCCAAACACTTTCATAACCCCACCAGATAATACTTGACAAATCGATTTGCATTCGCATAAGAAACAGCTTCATTCAAACACCTACTGTTTATTTGTTGTAAGTATTTAAGTTAGTTGGTGGATAGCCGCCGCACAGAGTAATACATGGTCGATAACTGTGTCCATGTCAGGTCATTGGATCAGCCTGAGGTATGGCGCCAGGTCACGCGTGATGACAAGACACTCCTCCTTGCGGTTCATTTTTGAATTTTTGTTTCTGTTGCCCTTTATTTCAAACGAAGTAAGTGCAGCTATAAAACGCTGCTTAATAAGGGCCGATCTAGAGAATTTCGTAAGAGTGATAGAAATACCACCGGACACTCTAAGACGCCAGCTAGTTCGCAACCGCCTGTACGACCGTCTATGTACAACAAAAAACTGCATAATTTGCCCAAATGGCAGAGACGGTGATTGCATGAGTTCGGGTACAGTCTATCTGATCTCTTGTAAAGCGTGCGGGCACGAATATGTTGGCGAAACGGGTAGACCGCTCTGCGTCCGCATAAAAGAACACCTAGTCGGTAAATCTAAATTAAAACAAAATACTCCACTTGGCGCGCATAGGATGCAGGAACACAACGGAGATTTTGAAGTAGGAGTCACTATCCTCACGCAGGAATCGACAACATCAACGCGTAAAACTCTTAAAGCGTTTTGGATCAATGCCAAAAATTCAAAAATGAACCGCAAGGAGGAGTGTCTCGTCATTACGCGTGACCCGGCGCCATACCTCAGGCTAATCCAGTGACCTGACAGAGACACAGTTATCCCCATGTATTGCTCTGTGCGGCGGCTATCCACCAACTAACTTAAATACTTACAACAAATAAACGGTAGGTGTTTGAATGAAGCTGTTTCTTATGCGAATGCAAATCGATTTGTCAAGTCTTATCTGCTAGGGTTGTGAAAGTGTTTGGCTGAGTAGATCACATCTCAATTTGACCTTTCCAGGCTCTGAAGAAGGCGAAACCACCGAAACGTCAGCAATTGTTTTCTAATAAATTCTATATTAACAACCTCGTGTCTGCTTATTGAAGAAAAACATTGAATTATCAATTAATGCCGAGGTTAACAGAAAGTCGGTCTTGGGATTTGCTATAAAAAGTTCATATAGATATTGAATAGTACTAGGAAATACAGAGGCGAAGAGATATGAATAAGTGAAAATGTACTTACCTGGTATACTATTAATTTGCCCACTCATTGGTGCTGAAATATCAAGCGAAAGAAGGTCAGCGATGAGAGTATCTTGAGAAGGAATCACCGTTGGCACAGTATTATGCGCTACAGTGGAAACTGATCCACTATTAGAGTCGATGGATGGATGACCACTAAAAACGTAAAACAACAACAACAAAACATAACCAAAAATTGAGAAGTACAGTCTCACAGTCCACATTCCACTTATCAGTAGTGCCTGCCATAGCGAAAGATTTTCAAGATTTTCAGAACTGATGAAATGTAGCACTAATTAACATAAACAATTCTTTACATTTTCGCTGGGAAATATAAAATACGAACTAAGAATAATTCTCAAACCGACCGTCATTTAACCTCGCTTGTAATAAATTAATAAGACTTACTTACTTGGATACTTGGATGGCCCGTCTTCATTGGTTGTGCGGGTCCTAGCATAATTTCCATTCCAGATATGCGCCGGTTTAGGCATTGCGGCTTCCCAGAGCCCCAAGGCCAGCTTGGCAAAAGTCTTCCCCAGGTCGTCACCACCACAGGCAATCGCCGCCCTTGTGGATCAGAGGGTGATTTGCCACCATGCGACCAGTTTGATACCAGGACGGTGGTGGATCCTGGTACTTACTCTTAGCCAGGTTTCTGATAGAAAGACCGGACTCCTTCTCAGCTTCGGAAGCTCCGATGGGGGAATGAATCCCTCGCTGTACATAACAACTCGACAAGCAGGAACACCTCCCACAATGAGGCGGTAAACAGTTAGGGGAATAAATAAGTAATACTAAAAGTAGATACTAAATACTAAAAATACTCAGATAATTGGTTCAATACTAAACATATTTCACAATCGATACACTGGTATCTTAACAAACTAAACTATGGAGAAAAGACATACTTAGTGTAACCAATTCCTGTACGCAGTGGTTGTCTAGCACCATCAACGAACGAGGAAGGTGGCTTATGATAGACGGATGCCAGACTTCCTATATGGCAAACAAGTTGATCGAGTAGTGATGGTTCTAGTAAATCTGTTTCCTCTGAGATGAGTGGTTTCTCGGCTAACACTACTTGCTTCGCCGCAGCAGGGTCTGCCGATAGCAGACGCCAATAGATGTATCTGAACGACCACGAGTACTTTTTTAAAAAAATTGGAAATCTCGTCTCGTCTATTAACTATTCGTCCAAGAATACATCACCAAACCATGACTTGGTGTGGTTTCCGACGAAAAGTTTGGAGATGATGGTGCTTCCGAGATGTTAAAAACTCACCCACGATCTCTTAGATCCGGATTGTCGCTGTCTTGTGTAGCAAGAGATAAAACACGTTGCACCAACTGTTGTGTGTCAGTAGGTCGTTTCAAGAACAATTTCACTACAGCCGTAAGCAACTGAAGTTGTACCTGAATTATTATATAGAATAGTTACAGCTACAAAGACGTGAAGATATGAAGATACAGCAGTAATTTCCGGTACATTTACCTGCGTATTCTCGTCATGGAATCCTTCAACAAAGCTCTCTAACAACTCATCCGCGTTATCTATTCTTTCAGCATATTCTCCAATGATCCAAATCATGGATGCCCTGGCTTCAGGTTCGTCCAATGTATCCAGATTCTTTGAAAAATTACAGAAAATAACTTGCACATAAAAACTATTTAGCACCTATCTTAACAGCTGGAAAGGAAAGGATTATACCTCACACAATGTCGAGATGATACTCTCATAGCGATTTGGGTACTTTCGAAAAATGTCCTGTAAAAGCTTACAATTTCGATCAGGAAAAAAACAAGGAATAGATGGACTGAAGAAAAATATAAGATTGGAAGGAACCAAATACGAAAACATGAACCTTGATAACAACGACAGCTTCCTGGACAACGTAATTCACTTTTGTTTGTATAAGTTCCAAAAGAGTTGCAACACACCGCTCGCTACTTGTTTCAACCTAGAACGAATCAAAGAAGGAGCTCAGAAGAAGTGTAATAAAAAGTAGTAAGATATGCATATACAATAAAATAGAAGTGAGTGTGAACTCCTAACGAAACTAGAATAATTTTCTAACAAATCTTTACTTGCACACTTACTTTTATGGCGCATCGACCGATAGCACGAACTGACTTACGAACGAAGTCTACGTCAACTTCAGTAGCATATCTGCAAAATAAAACTGAGATATCAGCGACTTCCGACTCTGATATAGCCATAAGTACTCTGATTTTTAATGAAAGTCTGAATCAGTCAGAGTGAAGAACGTAAGATCTTACTCCTTCAGTTCACTGAGCACCTGGGCGATATTGTTTTGCTGGGCCAGACGAATCATAATATCCAACTTTTCCATTTTGACATAGATGGGATCGTTGTATTTAACAAAAAAAACCTATAAATAAAAACGTTTCTACTTACGTAATCTTACACAGTGAAAGAATAAAATTGACTCAACATCATTGCATAGATAAATAAACACTCGAACAATTATTACAACCAACAAAACATTAAAAAGTAAGAAAAATCCTTTCCCACCTACCTTCATCTCTTGTTTTAAAATATCTGGTCTCTTTTGAACAATTAAGTTAATGTTTCGTAGAGCCACATACTGTATCTCCGGTTCCGCAGACAAAAGGGTTACCTAGTAACATTGCGCTGTTAGAAAAGAGAAAAGGAAAGAAAACAGCCATTTTCGCATATTCTTAAAAGATTGGATCGTTGCAGTTAACAAAGAAGACCTGCAAAGCCATTTATACCTACTGCTTCCTTTATTCTTTACATATTTCACACAGTTCATATTCTTATCCTTCATATTCTTAACACTTGCGCGATTCGGAAGAAAATACGGAAACATTTCACATAGAGCAACACTGGGTTCCAGTTAACTAGTACTTTTAAGTAATATTTCACAACGCGATTGCTAAAACTACATTTCTATGGTGAAAAAAGGTGCGTCACCATGAAATTCTTACTAACATTGGAGAAAATCAACGCTTAATGTAACCAACCATTGGCGGAGCGAGTTTTTTCGTTAGCTGATTAATAAACTCCGAATCTGGTGGGAGCATATCAACCAATTTCATCAAGACCTGGAAGGAATGGCTACTATACAAAACATAAACTTTCAGAAACGTCAAAGTTATAAAACATGTTGATATTAACTTAAAAGACCGACTTTGTATAAACTCTGCATAAGTAATCGATATATTTATTCACATGTTCTCACGAACTGCCATTCTTGAGCTGATGCGAGGTTGGTAAAAGTTGTCGTAGCCATTGTTGTTGTTGTTGTTGTTCGATGGCCGACGTTTCCGCGATTTCACCTTCTTCAGACCCGTGGTGTTGCGAGTGGAACAAATGTGCATTGGTGATCCAATGGTGGAATGCTTGCTTGTCACGTGGATTACCCGGATTCGATTCCTGGCCAGTGCACTAGTTCTGGTGACGCTCATAGTTATAAGAATACCACGTTGTCAATCTTTCTATCGTCATAGGAGTGAATGTCACCACATGTGGTGCTCTGGCCGGGAATCGAGCCCGGCTCGCCGGCGTGGCGGTGAGCATCCTACCACTGAACCACGAATGCATTGAGGTATCACTCGCAATAGCACGGATTTGAGGAAAGCGAAATCGCTGGAAGGTTAGCCATAGTACAACAACAATGACTACGTATACCTACCTCGCATCAGCTCAACAAGGGCAGTTCGTAAAAACAAATAAATATATCCATATTACACTCTTCAATAAAACCGTTAGTTACTGATGTGATTATATGGCACGAAAAATTTCATTTACGAAAAAAAAACATAAAAAAGAAATGTATTCGAAAAAATACAGTCAAGAACAAATTTAAGCTTAGACTTTAACAGTAGAGAGCACGACAGCCGCATTAGCATGGGCAAGGCGAGGAGAGATCCGCTCGCAAATGTTCTGAGCTTCTCGTTCATCACGAGGTCGATAACCAGCGAGCGCATCCAAAATGAAAACCTGCGATACTTACAGAGCTAATCAAAGCGAAACACTTGAACTAAAGAGAACTGAAAGTAACTTATGCTTACCTGTCCCCATTCAGTACATTCGTTAAGCGCCGTTAACAGTTTGTTCACCATCTGACTATTTACCTTAACAAATACTGCTTATGACGGATTTTTAAAAACATTTGCACATTCGAAATAAAACAAATCTATGCTGAATACCTCTATTAGTGGTCTCTGCTCATTTATTTCAGTTAGAGCAGCTACAGCATTTGCGACAACCATTGGATTTGCATCGGAGAGCAAATCGTTCAGAAGTTCGACAAACCCTAGACTAAGGATAGTAAACACCGAGGAAACCATAACATTCATCGAAAACCAGAGTGTCAGAACAAACTAGGAGACGATACCTTGTTCTTCCACTAGTTTCGGATTCATATCATGAAGTTTTGCTACACACACTGCTGCTGTTTTACGTACATAAGGATCCTCATCCTGAAGTAATAAGTAGTTTACGTAAAGATGAAAACAAATTTCAGACTTGCAGTTGTGTACGAACCAAGAAACCACAGCAATAAAGGAAGTATAGATAACGTATTACAAGTAGAACTTTTATAAGAACTTAGCCCATGAAAGGGTAATAGCGGATTCGATCCTCCCAGACACCTGTGGTCCGGAATTTTGCAAATATCTCAGAATCATTACGGTTGTATTTCGCTCATGTTAAATACTACGTTTAAAAAGAGAATACGGAACGAAGGACCCATATGGTAGGGTGGTGAACACGTTAGCCCCCGAAAAGGGTAATAGCTAGTTCGATCCCTACCGTAGACACCTACGATATGGAGTTTTGCAACAACTATTGGTAAAATCCAAATAACCTACAAAAAAAGTCTACAAATGTCAACAGTTTACCTTCATACATTTGCGTAAGGGTTCGCATAAATACTCTGTAATCTTTTCCACACGAATACATCCCATTGTACGTACTGCTAGGGCTCGGATAAGAGGATTTGGATCTTCACAGTCCTACAGAAACTAATACTACATCAATAAACAGAACTAGCAGAACTAGATGACTCCGAATAACCTTAACAAAAGTATTGACGGCCATGATCGCAAGATCCGGTTGACTCTTCGCATAGTTCATAAGATACAAGTAGACGAGCTTCTTCAATTCGACATTATCCGTCTGCATGCAGTTAACGACATCCGGGAATAAGGCACTAGAACAATCACTAGTAAGATGAGTTTGGTGATAAACCTTAAATTGACCCCGGAAACATCACCGTAGGCAAAAGCTCACCTTACGTCCTTACCCACAGTCATGCTGGCTATCACCTTCTTCACAGCTTCGCGTTTTTTCTCCTTCTTATCTGAGTTCAACTCAGTTTTGAGTTCAAAGATCTCACCTGGAAGATGAACTCAACTGAATGGAAAGGACTAAAGCAATAATTTGAAAAAAATACCCTTCTTGGTCGTAGTGAAATACTTTGAATCCGTCATCCTTAACCTCACTACCAAAACTGGACCGGATCCCTAATCCTAAAAGAGGTGCATTAAAGATTTGGAACGGTGAAGGGTTAAAGTCTTAAATGACAAAAGTAAAGATTTTCAAAAGATAAACTGACTATGAGACCTTTACAGTCTAGCACTAATACAGGTAACTAAGTGTGTTAGCAAGATACCTAATATTTCAAGAAGTGTTGAAGAAAAAGTAAAGTTCAAATCAGCTTCTCAGCTTCTTCTTCAGACTTTCTGAGGAGAAGATACAAGAACTTTGGATATTCCTAGTAAAATTCCTGCTACAATAAACATTATATTACATATATATGACAAGAAGAGAGTACTAGGCAATCGAACCAACGGCGCGACCAAGGTAACATTCGATGTGCGCCAACACTGAGCCAAAATCTAGCCCGCCTCAAATCCTTAGCTCCATTCTGGATCCGCAGAAAGTTGCATGTTCATAACTTGTACTCAGCCTCAGTCATAATTGTTGGAAGGTTCCAGACGATTAGACCACTTTTTAGTTGAACAAGCCAAATTGTTGAACAGGCTAAACTGAAGGCTAAGCTTCTTCTAAAAAGGTGAGAAGGGGAGACAAGTTCTTCCTCAACTTCAGTGATTTCCCGCAAACCTTTGGAAAAATACAGCGAAGTCTACTTCATATTCATTTTCTTGTATTCATTTATCTCATATCATATTGCTGCATACAACATATCTTTGGGGGATATTGAGAACTTCAACAAAATCCGATAGCGTCTGCATTCGGATATGAATCTCTTAAATTGATTTCCTGAGATGAAAACAGAGAAGCCGTTAGGAAAAAAGACGTGATAGTAAAGAATTGACTGAGGAGCTCAGAATGAATTGTTAGAGAAGATGCCGTCATAAGGCTACCAGTAACGAGGGTTACTTAGCAAACTTTCTCAGAAATTCCTTCAAGAATTCATCTACACCTTAATGATGAGATCTCGTGGGAAGTGACTATAACTTTTCAAAGGATAGATTTAAATCTTCTCAAGCAGAAAATGAACGCATCAAAAGACCGGCTTCTTCAAAAGTTTTTAATTTCACATCAAGCTGGCACAGAAGACCGGTTCTTAACTCATTTTTGTACGTTGTCTTGAGAGCGAATTTAGTTTTTTAAAGCTTCAGCGCAAACTTTGGTACCTTGTTCCATTGATAAGCTAACACGAGGTTGTTACCACATATTCTGCTAACGTTTCGACGTCTTCATCTTCCTCAGAGCCGATGATCCGAGTCGATGGTCCACAGTCGTTCGTCATCTCGATGTGGCCTCTCAGCCTTCGTCTTATCGAAGACGAACAACTGTGGACCATTGGCTCGAATCATCGGCTCTAAGGAAGACAAAGACGTCGCTCCACCAACTAAGAACGGCTATGCACCACTAACCACCAAATCGAGAAAGAGCTTTCAATCTGTCAATCCTCACGGTGTCCGGGCCGGGTGAGCTCGTGCTAGCTTAACACTGCGATAAGGAACATTGATTATTTATACTGACGTTACATGAAAGTGGGTTTACAATAATATTACTGTGCTATGTGCAGTCTAGTATCCCATTTCCTTGAACTGTTTCAGTGGGCAACGATTGCGATATACAGCTGGTTCGTCTGCTCAGCAGGATATCCTAGTACTCTGAACGAGTTCGACATTTCTATGTGGAGGCTCATCCAAGAGTAAATCAATGCTAAGATTTACTGCCATCATGCCGATTACATAGGCACTAGCCAACAAGTGATGAGGATTTGAGAAAGCCCTAGTATCACAACCTCGGAAACTATAAGGCAGGGATATCTGACCTGTCTACAAAATTAGCAGTCAGATGGAATTTGTCGTAGGCATTGATGGATTTCCCGTGATTCTTGAAGATGGAGTATCAAGGAATCAAGTATCAATTCTCTTAGCTTCTTCGGTGTTCGATGTGCGATACGTGGTTAAGTGGTTCTGTGCAACTGAACTGCTCATTTCTAATTTATCATTCCAGATAGCAGGCGTAGTGATTCTTGATACATTTCAAAAAATTGCTAATACTACTTCTACTTCTGGTTTTTAATGTTTCAATCGGGAATACGTGAAGACGAATCGAATGAAAGTGTTGGGATTCCTTCAGTCTGTGATGTTGGGTCATGGAAGTAAACAAAAACTAGCCTGATTCTCTAAGTCTCTTTGCTATGCGACAAAAAAGGATAAAGCTCTCGGCGTTGGTCAATCCTGAGGGATGCACCACGCATTCGATATCATTAAGTATCGTTGGAGGTGATTGAATGCATATCTGGCTTTTACAGGACTCGCGGTGGCCTACCGATGTCCTGAGCCAGTGCTGATATCCTTCCAGACAAGTCTGGTAACAATTTGCCGAACCCGGAGGTATGGATGGCCTGGTGACCATCGGCGCGAGGAGCGATGTGTGTGTCGCGGGACAACTCCGACCACTGCGCCACACACCTCATCACATCGCTATAGTGAAACCGTGTAATTATAATATTTTTGAGTACTGGGATCCACTAATAGTTTTAATAAAGAAAAATAACACAAAAGAAAAAACGGAGCCGATGATGGTGTCAGGCCTCGGCGAATCGCCTCTCCTCGTTTTCCTAAAGCACAAAAAACGCGATCATCGCCATTTCACGAATTGTAGAAGGGAGAAGATTTCACAATTGTAGTCCTTATACATCACATATTCGAGTCGTGACATCGCTAATTTTCCTCACCACTCGTGCCCTTCTGATGGTAGTCGAGTAACTTCAGCAAAGTCTCCATTTCGCGTGAAAACCATAATATTTCTCCTCTACATCTTCGTTAAGGTAGGAGATAGCAGTGGTTAGCCTGCACTTTATCAGGAAGCACGGTGCTGGTTTGACTCTGCCTTAGGTGGGCTATCTCCAAGATTGCAAATCAAGTCGACTAGACCAACATTCTACGACATCCGTAAAATATAAGAAACCCTCAAGCAACAGCCGACACAACATGCGAAATGCTCCAAGACCTTTGTGGACGTCTAGTTCGAGGAAAACGAATCAAATGTAAGAAGTACTGGGATCGGCACAATAAGTGATGCCTGGTCACGTAAATAAATATAAATGAATAAATATCTTCGTTAGAAAGTCTAACCATCAGTGCCGTGTTCTTCTTACTCTGTACTTCACATCTCATGTGACCCAATCGCCAACACCTTTTGTCATTCAGTTATTGTTAAGATGCATCACGTGACTAGTTCACCTGATTTTCAAAATTTTGACGTTCATACCGGATATCTCTGACCTTGCACTTTTGACGTAGGTCGAAACTCTTCCCTCTGTCATTTATGTGCTACGAGATATTCCCAGCATTCCACTCTTATGTGAGTGTTCAGTAGCGCTGATGACTTCTCATCCAGCTTACCCAGTGACCAAGTTTCTGACGTGTTCTTTAAACTAACCAGAATTATCGGGTCGAAAAAGTGGCATGGAATCGAACACTTTTAGTCCTCTTCATTACATTTCCGAGGCTCTTAAGAGCTCTCCAAACCGCTCACTTCCTTTTGATCGGCTCTGGAGCTAATCGTTCATTACGTTGACATTTTCACCTAGATAAGCACAACTGCAGCTCCGAAAATACTTATTTCCTCGAGCGTAAATGCGAGTAGAAAAGCAAATCTATTCTTCACCAGCACTGTCCTCTCGCGATCCAGTTGAATACCAGTTTTTCCACAAGCGTCGTCGAAACGGTCCAACATTTGTTCCGCACGCCAATGTTTGAATATTATTGTAGGAACACCATGATGACAATACCATGAGCAAAGCGAAAATGGTGTAATTTCCTGCGAGGTTAATGTGTGTCATTGAATTCCAGTTTTTACAGAAAATTCTCGAGGCTCGACGGTTTGGTTCACCAATTCACCAAGATAGAACCGGAGACGTGTGAATTGCAAGTCACCTCTAATCACTATTCTACACCCGAGCCTACAGTTGTCATCAATGTAGAGACATAGACTATTCCTAGGCAGAGCTTTCTATGACATCTCCAATTTCGTGAATTAAACATACCACCTTTCATTTATTTAGGTCGGCTGTTTGGAAAGCACTACAACTAAGCTGCTGTAAGAGCTAAACACCCTTCTCATCGATATGCCGAGTTCGAAAACCTGTTACTTTGCAGACGAAAATGCTCCGTCTGCAACGCCTCTCAATTCTTGACGGCACTCCATTAACCACATGTGAAACATCATACCTGTCGAAGCATCAAGTCTTACTGAACAAGAACCCCGATGTACTACTATGAAATCGCAAATGCAACACGTTTATGTATACTCCGCTACATTCCATCAAAAAAAAAAATCGTTGGTTTCCTTCCGTTCTTTGGTTGATTCATGAAGATTTCTCGAAGCTACTACTTCCTCATAACTGAAAATCCGATTTCGCACAAAGGGACGAAAGGAGAACAGTGATTGTTCGTAAGTGTAGAATAGCCGGTAAATCTATGATAAAGATAGGTATGTATTACCGAACAAAATCAGCAGATCCTATAACATCATATAGAATTTATCATCACACATAACAATAAGGAACGGTCAAACATGAGAATACAATATATGGCAGATTTTTAATCAGTGAGGACCTCCGAGTTCGGAGGACCAAAAATGTTGTTCTGGTATGCCCCTAATCTCTCCCGCCTCGCACTCATTTTCTCCGAATCTCTGCCTTTCTCCCTTCCTGTTTCTCTCTCTCTCCCTTATTTTACTTCTCTTACTACTCATTATTGAATTTGAAACAAGCATTCATTAGACAATGCTGAGAGTCTACATTACCTAGTAATTCCCGAATTTTCTCGCCAAATAACAAGTTGATCACAAACGTACAAAACCATCATATTAATAGAACGGGATAAATATCACATATGACAAACGAGCTGTGCTCAAAATCATTAGGACGATAGACATATGCAGCATACAAAACCATGACTACGTTAAAAACTTAGCACATAACTGCAAACAATATGGATAACTAAACAAATCTAATAATAATGAGGCTGAACAAAACAGAACGTAACGTCATAGGTTCTCTTCGAGTATCTATCAGGATCTATGATGATAGCTAGTAAAGTAAATGAATCTAGTAGTGCCCCGCATTAGGAACAAAATTTAAATGGTTCAAACTACAACGAGAGAAACACATCGGGTAGAATACAATGGAACCGTATAGCACAATCAGTTGAGGGAATACATGAAACTGATTCTCGCAGACAATATGCAATAAATATAAACTAGAACAACGACTATGCTCCCAATGCAACGAAGAAAAATTACGTATCGGTCTTCTCTTTTCGACAATAGAGTTCCTTCAGAGTTTTCAACTCCTCAATCAAGGCCTTGTTCTGATTCTCTAACACGGCAACCCTGCTCTCTAGACATTTCACATATTCCTAAACGATGAAAAAACTAACAACGTGTACAGTAAGAAGATGTTCTTATTGAAAACGTCCACCCAGCAGAAGATGTTTGAAATATTGGGAATGTCCATTAAGCCTCTATTGTACACAACATATGGATAACAAATTGCGCCCTTTACTTCATTAGAACAAATATACTGTCGTTTAGAAGTAAAACTTAAGAAAACATTCGCTTGGGAAAATTGATTTGCTCATATAACAACGAAGGCAAATTACTCTCACCAACATTCATGATCGTGATAGTGAAAGAAACCGGAAACGAGTGAAGAAGAGCATCTACTTGAACACACCTTTTTCTTGCGACGACACTCTTTAGCGGCTTCGCGATTCTTCAGTAATCGCACTTGTCGCTTTCTGGTCGACTCGTCTTCACCACCGCCACAGCCACTCATCGAACTTCGTGAACCTGCCGCCATTGTGGGTGAAGGTGAACTGATATATCCAGACAACAATGGAGAATGCCATTCTAAAACAGCCACTCATATGATCAACTTCAAAGTTAATCAACAACTTGCTGACCTGTAAATGATGAGGGGTCCATGCCACTGACAGGTTTAATAACATGTCCATCGTGGTTCATTGGAATCGCAGATGAACCTATACGCATTAAATTAATTTGATTCTTAACAATGAAATGAGGGTGGAAATTATGACTTTTAGAAAACCATGACCATCTGTTTGGGAGTACTCACATATAATTTGTTGGATACCAGAAGCTTTAATAGCCAAATCAATGTTCAGAATACACTGTATCGCTAGACCAGCTAAGTACAGACGCAAAAATATAAAAACTTATGTAAGAAACGCCCACGTCAAAGTGATATAACAGAACAACGAAGGTCATTTCCACACTTCTACTGGATTTCAGGACATGTAAGTGAGCTATCTGCGCTTAACCACCTATGCTACACCTCGCATATACTCTGACGATTTCCCGTTTCCAGACAGATCATTTTAAATAGATCCGTGAAAGTGACATCAATACAACGCCGAAACGAGGACTCCCTCCTTAAATCACTTCGATAAATATTAAGCATCTCTTCATTCCTTTATTTCTCACCCTAGATCCTTACACTGAGTTTGTGTCTCTCTTAGTAGTATTCATTTCTGTCATGTAGTCTACATTAAATCACTCGACAAAAGACCCATATTCTTGCCCTAGATTCACACCTATCCATGACCACAGCGGAATAAAACTTCACGATAGCTTGATCTTGCGACCTTCTCCGCCCACTCCAAGCAATAGCAGTGTCACACGTTTCGGTTTGATATTCGTCACACCCTCTACACAACGCTATGCCTTTATCTCATGAAATACTCTAATTGCTGAATTATCGATTCACAGAAGCAGTTCACACATTTACAATAATATTCCATACCTCATGCGATTGATCGCGCAATCCCCTATGGTGATTATTACGTTAATATTATGTGTACAAAGGTTTAAACACCCAAATCTGAGATATATTTCTGTCAATCGAGAAGAGCCAACTGTTACAACCGCCACAGCAACGAAATTTTATTATATATGTATGTATATATATACGTGTATATATATATATATATACGTGCATACACAACAGTCATATGTATGTAAAAATGCGAATATCAATATATATATATGTATATATATATATATATATATATATATATATATATATGAATCTCCCTAAGTGAACGATTAGTCTCGAGGTCATGTAGTCCAAGAGCAATCATATGCTTAGAAATGACACACTTTGAATTCCACCACTTATAGTATATGTGCAATGCAAATACTAATTAATGTGTATAAGAATGCGTGTGTTTATGTGTAAGCGAGGTATATCTTGCAAATCAACTCACACAAAGGATTATTAAATGACTGAGAGACAAGCTAAAGAGTTCCACTTCTACCCAGAAAAAGTGTAGCAACTTATCCTTAAGTACACCAACCACGCTCCCATGCACGGTAAACTACAATTGAGTAGGTTTAGTAAGAATGGAAAAAGTAAAATATTACATTTAGAAACTACGGCAACATTCGTAACCCTCTAGCACGCAGGACTCACAATTCACCCTTGGCAACTAAGACAGGGGAGGACAAACTTTAATGCAGCACACCTATTCATTTAAGAAATAGAGAGAATACACGTGGTATAGTGACATATTTATGGCTTTGAAACATAGAATTTCCTGGTGGAGAGATAAAAAAAAAAGCACACAACTGTTCAAATAAACTGTAAATGTGACCACAGCAAACAAAAACAGACCGGAAACAAGAAAATAAATGCGTAATAATTATAAGATTATTTCGCAATTGCGCGAACTTATGGGATATTCCTATTCTATTTCCGCCCAAACTGGCGTAAACGAAATTAGTTACTAAAAAGTACTACTGAACTTACAATGAATTGCACGATAATGAAACGAATACTAAATACTGCGGTGGGAACTTTTCTATCAACAGAAAACTCATACGAGCTAATAGTTGAAGGGAGTAGAGAAGTGGTAATGAAATGAACAATGAAGAAACTAATATCAGCCAACTGCGGGAATGTTTCCATCAAAAAGTCATATCAACTGTGAAGATGACCTACAATTTTCGGGGAAATCGCGGTGATAACCTAATCGACGAGCGTACGTCATGTGCACTAGTCTTGTCGCACCCACTCACATTTCTTGCAAAGCAGAACAGTAATAAACTGACAAAAGATAGAGAGTGATTACCATAATATTAAGTAAACTTCCTAAATTCCTAAAGGCATGGCAAAACCGGCACAGAACATCTAAAGAACCCATACTGAAAAATAACGTCGAAGGGATTGGGTCTCGATGCAGCAGTGTTGCTAATGACACGTACATATCAAAATAAAATGTCGAAACATCCAGTTTTACTACCCTCAACATCAGCACTTGAGTACAAACACATTCAACAACGTGACTGTGGTGTATTCCTAGGTGACAAGTTGCAAAGTACAGCAAGAAGCTCATCTTTTAAGCTGTGAAGTTGCAGTGCACCGCCTAACGGTTCATCGGCGCTGGGAGATGTTCCTGGGTGGGTGTCAACACCAACAACAACGACAACAACAGCGAAGACCTATACCAACATCGTATGCCCTCTGACATTTCTGCAACGCCATAATTCTGCATAGGATTTTAACACCACCTTCTCTGCGCAAAAATCTGATTCAAACATACGTTAGCGGAAAAATACGATATCATTTTGGAGAAGATGCTTTTAACACAAGTGACAAATTCAGATGCTCGAGTTCTTTAATTAGTAAGCATAGATCTCATCCTCACCACCACGAAGAAATTGTTCGATAAGAAAAAAAGGTAGGGCCAGAGCCTAAAGCAGAACACTTATCACGGCGGATAAAACAGCCACCTTTACAAAATTTTTACTGCAGGACCTACAGGGGTACCTAGGAACAACTGTTGGAAGAATTCCAAAAAATCGCTATTCTAGAGAAACTGTCAAACGGCTCTACGCGAATGTAATGTTCGAGAGCTAGCCTGAAAGAGAATACCCCACTGGTATCAACCCTGCCACGGTGTAGAATAAATGACGTTGACGTAGAAATTTTAATACATTCCTTTCCTTCTTAGAGCTGCCATGATTTGGACCACACTGTGATTTCGACTATAGCCTCAGCTTAATCAGATTCAGTGTCGATTTGTGCTCTCCAAATCATTTCCGTTGAGAAGTGATTACTGGTGACACCGTTAGGGTGAAAACGCTGGCTGAGAGAAAGGCAGAATGAGGGCCTCAGTGGTACCGTGCGTAATACGTGTGCCCTCGGAAAGAGCAATCGCGGTTCGACCTAGCCTGCGGTTCAAGTTTTGCAAATTCAGCACTACTGTGGTTTTATTTCGAATGAAAAGTTGCCATGAATGAAAACTGAACGTAAAAAATTTTGCCGTGTAGCCTCCCCTAGCAGTGTTTTTTATAAAGGATGTTTCTTAAACTGTTTCCGCCCAATATTATCTGTTTGCACGGTAACAATAGACCCTGCAGAAGCCCCTCTACTCCACTCGATTCTGCTCGTTGCGACTACGAACTAGAAACGATTCATGGAACGTAGGTAGTTTCTCGACCCGTGATTCGAAACATTTCACGTATTATGTCTAAAAGTAAATGATTCGGTGGATATCAACATTTAAACGTTTTCCATGAGCAGTAAACTGAGTCAATCCAGATATGTCACACCATGTACTAAATCACTATTACGAAAAATTGGCACACTCTAACTGCCTTATCAAGTTCCAATTTGCAGTCTCATCCCACTGAAAGGTGACGACGTTGAACTTAAGTGAGGAAAGATACACATGTTTGAACCATTGCATGGTTAAAAAAAATCACAAATTTGCGAAGTACGCTCACCTGCGCCAACTGATAGAGCAGAACTTTGACTAGATGCAGCAGCAGCAATGGCCGCTGCAAAATCAAGACCTGGAGGAAGTGAGCCAAGATCTCCATTAAGATGGAGAGAATGCGTAAGACTTCCACTCTGCAGAAGACCTCCGGCCAATGGAGACGTGTAAGGACTAGGTCCACCAGTTGCATTTGATCGCCCTGTTGACGGTGGTATGTTTACCTAAACTTTGTGTTTTATAAGAACTAGCGAGGCGTAATATGAGACTAACCTGTAGAGGGGACGTATCCACGGAAGAGGGTGGTGTTTCTTCCGGTTCTTTTTTCAGTACTTTGTCAGCCGTTTCAAGATCCTTCAGGATCATCCTGCAAAACCATGACCATTATTTTAAGATGACCATGTAGTACACAATAAATAAAACTATGCTCCTACTATAACTCACCATTGTACTGAACACTGACCGAAAAAATTGGACCAGATGTTTAATTGTTGCAGGATTACATCAACGGAGATTAGAATTATAATTCACCTATCAAATTCGGCTTCTACACCGTCCTTAAGCGATCAGTCGTTTTTTTTTTCGTCTTTAATTTCATTTTTGAATTGGTATTTGATATTGTGCCTAGATCAACTAGCAGGAAAACTGATCCAAGGAACCGCTGCCGAAAGGATGCTTCGCTCATATTATACATCGTGGTGAAGACCTGAAAACGTCCTTGCAAGGTTAATTCAGAACTCTACAGAAGATCAAATTGCCCAATCAGCAATAGGTCAGCCTCAGTACTACGCACACTGGATGCTCCTGTTTAAGACGTCAAGCGCGAGACGGGCGACACGAAGCCACAAAATCTCTGGCTACGCAGACGTTACTACAACCGGATTAAATGAACATCTACAACACGCCATGGAGATGGCTTCATGCTCTGTACCTGCCGCAGAAGGCAGTCTCTTCAGATGCCAACCTTTACCCTCTGATTGAGATCTCTGGTCACATTAAATTCCACTTGATTGCCCAACAAAAGACGAAAAGCGGGAGGACCGATATACGCCACAATTGCATGACGAAACCCTTGTCAGTCGTAGGGGAATTTCCGTTACGAAATCTCGTAAACGTTGGTTTTGCCGTACATCCATCTATTTCCCTTCTAGTCACCTCATATGGAGTCCTATCACCGCGCTTGACTATTTTCTGTCTCCAATTTCCGTGTGAAAAAAGTAACTATCATCAACCGCTAATCATCAACTTGTACGGCTGATTACA